TGGCGCCTTGATAGGGGGCACTTGCTCTTCATGAGCTTGTGAATTCTTGATTTGCAGACCAACCGTGTCGAGTCGCGGAGTCAGAACAAACATATTTGTCTGTTTTTGTGGGTGCCAATTTTTGGTGGTAACCAACAGGAAAACATGTGTTTCTTCTTCTTTTTGTTGGGGGGGAGTCCCCAAAGCAAGACACCACACAACAGACACTATGACTGGCCCTTCGACCGGTCGGACACGTTTCACAAGGCTCCTACATTCATGCCCTGTTGGTGGTTTTCAACTCCTTTTTTTTCGGCAGTTTGTAGTGAGCTGCAAGTAAGTGTAATGTTGGAGCCATGTTTCACAATTTTCTGGTATTTTCTGTGATGCGTCATTTTTTTTGCGTGTCTGAAAGTCTTGAAATGTTGGATGCAAAGATTGGGTCTGTTCCTGTACGTTGTGTGGTTGCATCGCTTGCATTTCCAGCATCCCCAGCATCTGGGACATGTTTCCTGGCTGAAAAATACAAAAGTACCAAGAAGGCCTTGTTGTGGCACTTTCAGACTTCCACGAAAATTCCTTGCACCCCACTGGCGTCGGCGGATCACATAGCGATTTCAACACAGGGTTTTGGACACCCAGCACGCCATGCCCAGCCCCAAAAGCCTTCGGCTTTGATAAGAGATTCCGAAGGAAGACCAAGTTGCGGACTGCCATCTACACGCTCGACTGGCGTCGGCGGATTTGATGTTTGGCTTCTCCCGGAAAATGTTCCAGTCTGGTGGCACAACCCTTTGAGCCGCCCATTTTTCTCTGCAAGGCGGCCGCGACTCGCATTCGACGGCGACAGCCATTCGGCCGCTCGAGCGATCGCGCCCGTAGGCTTCTTCACGGAGCGCAGCGCCAAGCCCAGCGAGTTCCCCGGCTTCGCCTGCCGCGCCTGTCCCGGCGCCTGGGTGAAAGGCGAAAGGTGTGGGAGGGAGTTCTTGGGGTGAAACCCAAGTCCACCTCAGGAAGGAGGTCCTGGACTTGACTCGCTTTCTGGGTTGGACCATTCTAGTGGAAAATGAAAGGCTTTCGGAGTGTTTGGGTGTTTTTTAAGTCCCAACCAAGCCAACCAAACCAACCAAACATCTCACGCCCGGCCACACTATCGTTGTTGGGACAAGGTTGCTTCTTTTTTTCTCCCACTCCTGTGATTCCAAACCTCTTCTTTACATTGAGAAAAAATGTGGAAGGCCTCCCGCACACGCAACCCAACCAGACAACCACACACCCACTCACGCCCCACAAAGAAGGGACTAGTGTCGTCGTGGCGACCCTAAACCCTAAGCAAGCTTTGACGCGTATACATGTTGCACTTGGCGCAGAAGGGAAGAGAAATCAATAAATGCATCGTGCAACTTCCCTGCTGGCTTTGCCACAAGTGCACCCGTTAAGTGCAATTGACGATTTGGAATCATTGAGAGAGAAAAATGCCCATGCTTTCCCAGTGAGAGTGCGGAAGCCCTTTTTGGACCATCCAAAGGAGGAGTCTTGAAAGGATCCACCAGTTTTGTTTTTTGAAGAGTTCGTAGCCTTCCAGTTGCTTATGAACTTATGAATGTTGTTTGTTTTCTCTTGCTGGCTTCAATGGGAATCGATTCCACCACCGCAAGTATGTTCTCATTTTTCCCAGGGGGCGCAAGCAAACGTCGCCCTTGTGCGCTGCAGACCACAGCAAGACGTCTCACAAGCGCTCAGGAAAGCTCTCGGGCAATGGGACTTGCAGCAGTCGCGGCACCTGCGGCTGGGCGAAGAATCGGCGGCGCTGATCTGCGAAACCAACACGCGGTCAAGCAACGCCAAGAAGGGAGGTCCGGGTGTGGCTCAACATCGGAGAGCTTTCCGGCAAACGGACAGTGTGAGTCTTTCAACATTTTACCAAGGTGCCATGTTGCTACCATTTTTTCCAGGCACTTTGCCACTGTGCCAGGTAGCAAAGTTGCTTTGTCTCATTCATTTGGATTCAAGACATGTCGCAGATAGGACACAGCCGTTGCTCTCTGAGTCAAATGGCTTGGCCGTTGTTTTGCGCGCAGCGAGGCAGCGCGATGTTTGACGGCTATGCAGGATATCCATTTGGGAGTGTTTGCCAAAAGGACAGCGGGCCATTTTGCGGGGTCTCCAAAAAAAAACCATTCCCATTCGCCAAAGTGCAGACCTGAGGCCAGGATGATGATGCAGCCCACAAGCTGGCAAAGGCCTGGAGGGAAGTTGCCAGCGCTGTTGAGGTGAATCGCCTCGATGCTGGTTGCTATCATTGGTCACTATGCCGTGCATTCTCCTCGTGTCGTCACCGTCGATATTGTTGGTGGCACAGGAAACTATTTGTTCGCGGCTGTTCGCGTAGAAATGCCTGCCGGTGCTCAAGAGACTTCCGATGTTGGCCAGGGGGTTCAAAGTGCGGAGCCAACGATATCTGGGGTATCCCTGCTTCTACGTGTAGTGCTTGGTTCATCTCAGACTTCCCTGGTGAGGCCCTAGCAGGTTACTTACACGAGGGGATTCCTAGCTGATGCTTGACATCTCCCACTGCCAAGCCTTGTCTGGTGATGGCACGCTACCCGGCATTGGGGGTTGGACATCATTCTCAGGCTGTTCAGAGCACAAGCCCTGCATATAGACACTCATGATTGTGGTCAAAACCTTGCCGAGCCGCGATCTGCGCTCCCGAGAGCAACACAGGTCAGAGGTCAGGCCAATGTCAGATGTAGCCTGATTTAGCTTTGGCAACACAGCTTGTGAGGAGAGTCGATATTCCCCTTCAATTTGCGAGGAATGCAAACACAACTAGGTGCCCCAGTAGTACCCTTTTGCCCTTGTTTGGGGGAGGGTTCCCCTACTAAAATAGACGAAACAGAAAAAGCATCGGGTACCCACTTATTCTAGCCTCTCAAATCTGGAGGACCTGGACAAGATCGGCCAGACCACCCAATGTTTCTTATGTTTCGCCGCTTAACATGGCTCACCTGAGAGCCCTTGTGGTCCTGGATGTGAGAAACTCTTCTGAAAGATATGGACCGTCGGTCCAGTTGCTTTGAATCTGCGCAATGTTGAGTGGCGTTGACTGCTTGACATTGAGAGCGTCTAACACCCTGGAACACCCATGCGATGTCAGGATGTCCAAATCATCCCACTCTTCATTCACAGTTATTGTTTTCTGATGATTCAAGTTGGCTGGTTTGACAGTATTTGCTTCGATTCTGGAATGAATTTCTTTGCCCCGGTTGGCACATGCCCGCCCCGCGCGTCCTAGCCTAGATCACTCCTTCCTTGCGTACGTGCTGCACCACATATGTGCCATGATCAAATGACCCTTTGGAACCATGACCATAAGCCAAAACAAGCGGAGCTTTGACTGCTGATGACATCCCTGCCTAGTGCTACCACGCACGTCGCTGCTGCCGTGACTCCTATGTGGCTGCCGATGCTGCTCATGCTGGAAACGCTGCTGTTGGTGTGGATTTTTGGTGTCAAGTGGCTGCGAAAGGCTGCGGGCGACTTGGATCTCTCTTGTCGTATATGTTGGGATTCAGGTCACTCTGCAACTCTTGCCAGTCTTCAAGCTTCTTAGATGCACCATGTTGAACATAGTGCTCGTATGTTTCCCATCCATGCGAACGCACATGCGCGCCTGTGACGGATCCTGCGCTACATGGATTCGTCTTTCAAAACGAACCGCCCCCACAACTTGTGGTGTTCCTCTAGTTTCCCATTGGACCAACCCCAGCCAGGTTGTCTTTGAACAACCCAGCCAACTGTTGGTTTCCTTTAGTCCGGACAGGAGACGGAGGGCCTCTCTCAGCTGCAACTGGCGTTCCTGCGCGGCAACGGCTCCTGCAGCTGCTCCGAGAATTTCGCCGGCGAGAACTGCGCACAAGGCGCGGGTTGCGTTGTGGCGCATGCCGGCCATACTAGGCCTTACATAGGACTTTGGATCCATGTATTCAGCAGATTCAAAGAGGGCACCCGGCTCGGGTCCCTGCATAGCCCATATCAATATCCATTTGTGAAACCACCCTGCTCCAAGCAAAATAAGTGAATCCTCTGCTCACACTGAGTCAACAAGTGCGATTGCTTACCAACAAGCTTGATGACAACCTGTAGCAGAAGTTTGTCTGAAGAGGAAAAGACACATGCTAATGTGAGGTGCATGACATGTTTGACATGTCCTTCTCAAAATAGATATTATACTTCTGTTAGGGGAGACGGAAAGCGTTATGCTCCAATGTTGATACTTCTGTTAGGGGAGACGGAAAGCGTTGTGCTCCAATGTTGATAGGTCATTGCTTCGCAACTGAGAACCTGAAACTGGCTCGCAAGCCGCTCCGTCTGACAAAAAAATCCAGCCAACACGCCATCTTGCAGGCCCGCAGCCCGGCCCCAATGAAGCGGCCGACTTGAAAAGAACATCTTTCTGGACCAAACTGAAATCCACTCAACCCAGGAGTTGTTCCAAGATGGTCCAAGATGGTCCAACAGATGTACCTTTGGGGTTCCTGTTGGAACCATCTTGGAGACGTGGAGTTCCCCTGACAGCTGTATCTGGGTCCAAAAGCCCCCAAACAGTCAACCAACCTGCTGAACCGGGGGTCTGGAAAGCCAAAACAAAAAAGCACCCCACCCCCTCCAGCACCCTCCAACAACTGCTCCCTGGGCAGTACTTGCAGCTTTTGCCATGGGGAACAAAGCAGAGGTTGGGGGTGCTGCCTAGTTTCCCGGTGCGCAACTTGGGCCAAAAGAAAAAAGGAGCAACACGCACCCACGCCCCATTTGGATTTCGAATACCAGCCTGGCCACAGCTTGCCACGGCCTTGGTGGCGCCTTGGAGTCCCGCACTCATTTTGTTTGGCAACTTGTCATAGGCTCGCCATGGGTGACCATAGGTGTCCTTCTTGGTTGATTTGGTTGCAAAATGGAGGGCGATTCCTGGCTTACCTGGTGGTTCAATCAACTACCAGGGAAACCCATCTATTTTCCCAAAAAGGACACTTATGACGGTGACGCAGCTGCAGAGCCCGATGCTTGTTTCATTTTTCGTCTGTGAAGAATCCTCTGCCTTGTGGACAGCTGGATCCTCAAACTACCCCTAAGAATGGGTTATGGTTATGGCCCCAAAGTTATGGGGTGATAACCCATTTTAAGGGTAGCTTGGGGGTCCACCTAAATCATGCAGGTACCTTCCATCAAGCAGGGTTCATCGGAAGCTTGCATGAATATTGTGGAACGCATCTTGCTCCGGCAGGGAGTTCACGTTCTGCATTGCTCTCAAATACAGCTCCCCTGCGTCACAAGCCACGCTGTACACTTTACAACCGCCATGTGCGAGAGCGTTTGCATTCCCATATGATGTCCGAAGCGTATTGCCTTTCGGCAGAACAGACTCTGCTTGTCCTATGCAAGTCCTGCATTGGCTCCGGAGCGACTGGAAAGCCAACCAGCTGGAAAGCCAGGGAAACTGCACTGTTCAAGGGCAAACCGGGGGAGGAGAGAGGGCCTAAAGCAGCAACAGGAAGGGGGGAGCAACCGTTACAGGACACAGACCAACAAAATATGTGTCAAACCCCACAAAAAACGGAACTCGGAGTTCATCTTTTGTTTCAGGGGCGTGACCTACCATAGGTTTCTTTCTGCCCCATCGGGCCTTCAGGCGAGTGTCCCGCCGGCATGGTGTACGAGGACGCGGCCATCATTGCCCACTGTGAGAAATGCCCCTTGGGCGAAGCGTAGCTCTTCTCAAGGTCACGGCGCATGGGTTCACAGCAATTTGGCGGTGGGTCAAAAATCGGGTAACCCCCAAATGGAAGCCGATCGGTAAGTGGCAACATGGACCAAAACTTGCGGTCCCCTGGTGGTTTAATTTTGACCCATACCCATTTGTCGAAACCTTTCTTTGCGAATATGGAAAAGGAGGTTCCTCTGAAAGTAGAGACGCCTGCCACTGCCAACATCAGCTTGCACCTCCCAATGGTTCGCAGGATTTTTTCCTTAAAATCCCACTGGGCCGGGTGAAAGGCCAACCCAAACTCCACTGAGGCAGCCCGGGCTTCTTCAAGTCAGAGCCGGGGAATCTGCTGCCTTGCCGCCACTTGGCTGAAGTTTGAGTCTTCTGAATCGCGATGCTTTTCTTGGGGCTCCCTTTTTGTTTCACCCTCCAAGCAGGGTTAAAAGAACAAGTTTGGAGGGTGAAACAAGGTTCCCCCTTTTCTTGTCGCGATGCCGGAATGGGAGACGGCACCTGGCTGCTTGGGTGTTTTTTTTGCATGCAGCTCATGTGAGCATGGGTCAAACATAAACCACCAGGGGACCGCAGGATTTAGTCATTGTTTCCATTTGCCAGGGATCCATTTTGTGTACCTATTGTTGACTCACGCCCATGTGTTTGGTCAAGATTCCCTGGAATCCATGGTCCAGTTGGAGGGACATGGCAAACCCTCGACATGTCCTCTTTTCAAGCCCGGAAACAGATGTAATTCTGTAGCCATGCGGTACATATGTCAGCATGTCGCACCAGGCAAGTGATTGTTGCACTTGAACTGTTCTTAAACCATCAATGAAGCTGTAGCAAGGAAACACCTGTTTCAAGCATGTCCAAGGAGGCGCCTTTGTTCGGCTCCATGCAGGTGAGAGCGAGAAAGCGGGCAGATATCCCAAGCCATGGCAGCGTGCCCAGGCATGTGCCAGTCGAACCACTACGCGCCCTCATATGGCGCTGCAAAATGCACGGAGTGCATTGGCTCGCTTTTTATCTTTTCGGTGAACAAGGACCGACGGGGAGACATGGAGGGCCACAATCCTTTTGAGTTGTTTGGCATGGCCATTTTACCTCTGCGAAGTGAGCACTTCGATGCGGCTGACTAAGATTCAGTGGTCAACAGCATCTATCGTTATGAATTGTGGTTCTGAATACAGGGGCCGCTTACCACTCCGTGGGGCCTCAGTGCAGCTTGCTGAGCCTGTCAGTAGCTTCCGTTTGCTTAAGGTTATTTGTTTGGAAACAACATACCTTGTTGGTTTTCAATCTATTTTCAGGGGGATCTATCACTATTGGAAGCATGTGTTTGAGGGGACTTCAGCAAATGGAGGATAGTCCGAGCTTTGTTTTGGCCGCAGTGTTCCAATAGAGCCACAAAGAAGCTGGCCATGGGGAGTTGCACTTTCACAGCGATATGAGTCACAATCAAAACCCGGGTAGATGAAGGTTAGTAAGGGACAATCCCAACCATAGCTGCATGGTTCTGGGCTCTGGGTAGACCATTTTAATACCGGGTGTTGATTATATCTCATATGAGCCGCGGTCAATTCACTTATCCACTCTTGCAAAAGGGACTTACACGGGCCATAGGCTGCACTTGCCAAAATTGCCAGAGTAACTGGCAATGCCTCGCCCAGCGCCAATGTCACTAGCACCTTGAGTGTTGCCCGTGGTCTGATTAGATACTTTTTGCTTAAATAAGAACAAGGAAACCAACTTTGAGGCCGCAAGTGCGTCCGTACACTTTGGGGTCGGCATGGTTTCTCAAGATGCATCATTCAACCTTCCACGACATGTTAAAGCATCGGGAACCCCTCAAAGACATTCGCTAGCGGCCATAGGGAGGTTGGTTGGTGGCCGGCCAGGCAGATATTGTTGCCATGAAGAGAAACAGTAGGGTGACAAGGGCCATGCCGAGCACCAGAACAGCTTGCACGAGCCTTTGAGGCCACTTTACACGCTTCAAGCAGTGAGTCAGAGGCATGACATCCATCCGAAGCCCCCGAACCTTGTAATATCGAGCCAGGATCACACCACCTGCACCATGGACGTGTCAGCTAGCTTGCCAGTGCTCCTTTTCTGCAGGGGCCGCGTTGGGACACAGAGAGCCCACTTTCCCGCTGAGTGTGGTCCAGTGCATATAGCGGGGCAAGGGGTTTTGTTACAATGAATCCAGGAACTCCAGAGTTCAATGCGCCGATGCATGAGCATCGAAGACGTTGCTTTAGCAGACGACTTTCAGAACAAGAGTTGCAATCGTAATGACTCTGCAGACCTAGGAATGGAGCAGCCTGCTGTGGGTTGTCCTAGCCAGAGGAGCTGTCAAAAAACACAGTCGGCCTTGTTGATGCAGTCAAATTGACATGAACTCCAAAGCACGAGCCTTTCCAGTCTATGCTGATGAGAGCTTTGCTCTGAATTTACTTGCATGCAGTGCTCTTGCAGGGAATCTGAAGTTTGCCCTCGCCTTGTGGACTTCTTCGGTTGTACGGAGAACATTGTTCCTTACTCATGACTTGTTTCAAGCACTGTACAAATTTTGGCTGTGGCCAACAAACATGTACCAAGATGGCACCTTTGTAATCAACACCAAAGACTAACAAGTGAATTTGCGTCACCCTAAAGGCCTTCTGATGCAAGACTTGCATCAGAAAACAGGCACACTGCCAGGCTAGGGAGCAGAGGGCTCACGGGTGGGTTTTGACTGTTCATCCGAGCCAACGTCAAAGAATTCGTAGAAATGACCCGAGTCCTTTTGGCAAACTCTTTCTGCGGATTTTGTTCTCGCTGGTTTCTGTTGGACTTTTGGCAGAATCCCTGCAAAGAAGAGGGATATTTCTTCTGGATTGAGGCTGGTGGGCATCCTCTGCTGGACCCTGGTCTTCTACTTCGCGCCGATGGTTTTCGGTCTGCCCGTCATTGTCTCGGACATCTCCCTGGGGCCTCATCTGCCCAGCGAGCAACGCAAGGAAGAGGGCCGCTTGGCTGAGGCTACAAGAGCACGACAAAAGGCAAACATGGATGCAGACGAACAGAAACGCAGAATGGTACGATGGCTCGACAAGGATCGCTCGACACGACACAGCTTGCTCGACGCGACACAACAAACCGACAACACAAGGCAACAACACAGCACGACGACACATCACCACATAGCCAAAAAACAATACACAAGAGAACAGATCCTCTGACTGACTGAGCTGGGTGGCAAGGCCAATACAGCCGTTGCTCACATCGTTTCGAGGCACCCTATTGCCACCTATCCATGCCAAATCCCTGCGTGGAAGCGGTTGCAGTTGCGCAGTTCACACTGTGCGCATGCTGTACTATGAGTCCTGCATGGTACTGTGGACGAAATTCTGCACCACTTTGAAACCATGGCAAACCATCGTTTGTTTGGTATTTACAGGGAAATCCTTCCAAAACTTCTTGGGTGCGAAATGGATTTCGTCCACATGTCAAAAGTTTCGGGCCATGGCGCATCGGCTTTGCCAGGTTCAGCCAAGTTTTCCTTTCAGCCTCACTTCCTGAGGTTCAGCCGAACTTCAAACACTTTTTGGGTTTGGACCATTTTAGTGGTAAATATAAAGTTTGGTCCCTTTTTTGGGTTGCCATCCACTCAGCCAGTGAGCAGCCGTCATTGAGGCCGGTCCTCGAGCTTCTTGAGGAGTTGGTTTAATACTCCCCCCGTGGATGAGAGCGCCCTGGACGCAGAAGACGGATGCGTTGCGGATCAGTCTCGAGAAGACATGTTGAACATATCTGAGCCTTGTAATTTTTACTTATTGTTTTGCGAACCTGTTGCTCGCATTGTTCATCTAGAAGGACAGTTTGGATGCTCTTTTTGTGGATGTCACCCGGTCTTTCCCCTGCTCGTCCTTTTTAGTGATCTTTTGGCACTGCAGGGGTGGATCCACAAATGTTTCCTAGAGTTCACTATGATAGTTCACGAAAAAGCAGCAGCAGAAAGTTTTCCGACTTGAAGGGTCCACATCTGGCACCGACAGCACAACAATATGTGTGGGGCCTCAAGCCGGCGCGTGTGAGGGGAGGCGTTCCAAAGCATGAAGCCTGCATGAAGCCTGCAACTTGCGCCTAGGCATTGCTTCCTGTTCAGTGCACATCCAGAAATGTTGACCACACGTTGAGTATTAGCCTTCCATAGGTGTCCTTTTGGTTGTTTTGGTAAAAGAATATGTGGCCCTGGTTTACCTGGTGGTTTAATGATCTACCAGGGTCATCTATTTCCCCTCAAAGGACTCCTATGTAGCCTTCCGTGTCTTACCACAGTGTTTTCCTTTGGCGTTCTTCTGGCTCCTTTGGAGCGGGCAGGTTGCTCCCGACTGACATACTCGTCAACACCGCTTTGTGGAGCGCTTCGATGTGCTGTTTCCAGGTTGAAGGGTGGGACGCGTTGATTTCAACTCCCACTTTGGAGATCCCCGCAAAGAACGGCGCGCAGTTTTGTTGGCTAACTCTCATTTTAGAGATCCCAAAGGCTATCCTCTGAGGCGAGAACTTGCAGTGCGTCAAGGTGAAGTCTCATGGCACTCACAACCTTCTCAGGCAGGGCCTGCTCTTGGATCCGAGCGAAACGGCAATAGACAAGTTGGGTCTGTCTTTTGGTGAAGGACCCCCTTTTGGGGTGGTTTAAGAGGGACACCAAAGGGAATCCAGTTTGGGGGGTCTGTCATGTCCTTGGTTACGCAAGGGCGACGACAAAACCGCAGAGCGCTCGATGGTGGTCCACCTCTCACGAGCAGTACCTTCGGGTCTCTTCCTAACCCCACCTGATCCTGCAAGAAACAGTAGCTACTGCTTGTTTTGCCCTGGGCTTGCAACGCACCGCATCCCAAGCGGCCAGTTTCATCAAGAGGCCCACTGGTGATGGCCACATGCCCATAGAATTGGTCGAATTGGCTCAAAAGCACCATGCCTTTCTCGTCGGCTCAAAAGCTGGGGACGCAATTGTTGCCCATTTCTTCTGGCAATGGAGTGGTTGTTTGACACGACGGCCTTTGTTGGCCAGCGCCAACGCACACACAGACTGACAGACACACACGATTTTTCCCCGTTGACGCCGCGCGGGGGAGCCAGGGGCCAGCGTGCCACCATCTTCTTTCGCGGCACCGGGGATCCCAGGCTGGACACCAAGACGCCCAGCTGCATAGCCCGCGCGTGCGCTCGGCAGACCGGTTTGAGGAGGCGAGCTGGCTTCTGGAAAAGAAAAAACGCGTCTTGATGTAACTGGGGAGGTTTAGTTAGTTTTGCGCCAGTCTCGTCTTTGTCCCTCTCTCCATCTCTTCCTGAACTTGGTTTTTCTTTGTTTTTTCCCGGAGATTCCATATCAATCAAGCTGACAACCCCCGCCCACGAAAAAGAAAGGCAAAGTTGTCACGGCGAGGAGAAGTTAGACAGACCTGCCCGCCATGATCGGCGCATCATTTCCCTCGGAACATGTTTGGAAGGTTTGAATAGCCAGAGACCAAGGAATGAACAGCTGTTCATCCGTAAACATGTTTAAATCCATTTTCCAAAGGAGTGCCTATATTCCTATGGAAGGGGTTGCGTTTGAACCATCCACCCTGTGCCTTGGCTTGGGGGGGAGGGATTGGGGGTTGGGGGTCGACGGTGCGACTCAGGCGCTTCGACTACAAGGTCGAGGGTGTCACGCACCACGAGCTGCTGTTGCTTCACCTGGACCGGAAGTTGGGCTGAAGACCTTGGGATCGTTCGGGTTTGGTTTTAGGCCTGGGTTTGGTGGGTTTCCCCCCACTTGGACCAAATCAAGAACAGTTTGGACTAGAGGTTTTGTTTGGCAGAAAAGGCAAATGCGGAAGGCGCAAGCGAATTTGTGTTGTGAAGTGAGTATGCTTCCCTCTTATGTCATCGCAGGATGCGTGAGTGCTTCTTCAAGGTGAAATTGCAGTGATGTTGCCAGACTGCGTTGTTTGACATGTTTGCTTGCAGTGTCACTCGCCTGAACTTTCATTGTCTGAACGTTGCGCGAAGAGAGGCTGCAACAGAGCTTGACCCAGCCACATTTTTCTGGTTCGAACAACTAGCCTGATAACCAACGAGCTGGAACAACAAATGATGGAAAGGCGGGTTGGAGGTTCACTACGGGCCCTGAAACGACGTCCATCGGTTCGGAACTGCCGGCGTTGCCATTGGTGTCCTCCTCGCGCTTAGGTTTTGGACCCATCAGCAACTCGACATTGTCCATCAGAGCAAGTTGACGACTGTGTCGAAACTAGTTTGAGCTGAGCAACTCCAGTGATCTCACAGCACATCTTTGCGTGGATAGGAGCTCACAGGGCTCACATGCTGAGGATATGACTTGAACCTCGAAGGGCAAACCATTCGGAACACGGTTCTCAGGCATGAGGACTCCACAAAGAATACTACCTTTGTCGTGGGATGTTATTGGTAAACCAGCCTTCTTGGAACCTCTTTATGCCTTTTTCGACGCAGAAACTGGCTCTGCCTGGCCAAGTTTGCCTCACAAACCTTTTTCTTGTGTGTTGTTCCCCCCGAGTGGACTTAGCTCTGTTATTCGCGGGTTGGCTAACCTCTTGCCGAACTTGGCCGAACATCCAAGCATGGTGGATGAGATTGGCGCAGCTTTCCGTTCGACTATTTCCTCACCAGCTGCACTCATTCTGCCTCAAAGCAGAGGGCAATGTGTTGCTTCGAGGATTGGCATGCAAGCAATGAATGCTGTGAATCAGCTGCAATAGCACAAGCAGGATCTGATCTTTTGGCAGGATTTTGCTCCTGACTAATGCGCGGGAGAAACAGTCGCTCTATGCCGAAAGGACGGCACTCCTGTGACCAGCAACCACGACTCTTCCACAGGCACGCTTCAGGCTCGATGCGCACGTGGGGCTGCTTCTCTGGCTTACTCACAGTTTCACGGCTCTGCCTGCCCGTAGGCGTCCTTTTTGGTTGTTTTGGCAAAAAAACAAAATAGGTGGCCGTGGTTTACCTGGTGGTTTGATCATCTACCAGGTACATCCATCTATTTCCCCTCAAAGGACACGACACCTATGTGCCTGCCACATGCAAAGTGATTCTGCCATTTGCTGGCACCTTTGTGGTCAGCGCCTCTTGAGTGCTGACGTACCGTTTCTGAGCTGGATGTTCGAAACATGTGCAGGGTGCAATGAGGGCACAAATCAGGACGCCCTTACCCCGGAGAACGGTTCTCAGAACGTTGCTTCTAAAAACAGTAGCTGGTGCATGGGGGCTTTGTTTCCACCCTAGTGCATCAGTCCTTCTCAGGTCTGCCGACTGGGTTTCCTTTGTTTTCGGGTTGGGATGGATGGAGGTGACTCAGGCAGCCTGCCCCAGGGGCCATCCATTTTCGGCCATTCGCGCCATTTCCGGCCAGGTCAAGCACCAGCACGCGATGCTACGCATGGGGACGCCTGGCAGAACTGTCCAATGAGCGAGGGGGTCGATTGAGTCAGCCGACTTGCAGCCCCAGGGGGAAGTTTAGGGGACACATTGACTGTGGCTCAGTTGTTGCTTGGCTTCTCCACTGAAAGGGAGGGTCTAGCATGGGCCGAGCAAACAGTTCCAGCCCCAGGATGCTGGGCTTGCCCTTCATCATTTGGACCTTGTTGCCGATTGCTGGCTACGCAGGCGGGCCCGGAGTTTTGCTTCCATTGCCAGATTGGTTGTATCATCAGGGCTCGAGTTCACTTGCGCTCCAGTGGAATGATGTCTTCACGAGACATTGCCACCAGCCTGACCGAGCCGCTCTTGGTCGCCGATGCGAGCCCCAAGTAATCTTTCTACTATGCAATCCCCTTGGCACATTTGCAGGACATCCGCTTGATACCCTTTGCCCGTCACAAGGTGTTCCAGAATTCAAAGGCCTTGTGCCTGGTCCTTTGGCCCCTTCCTAAGTGCTTCGCACCAAGTTGTTCTCATCGAGTGGCATCGCTGACGTGATGCCCTGCGAGATGTTGGGGGTTTTGACTCACCATTGGACACAGTCAGCAGGCGCTTGATGGATGGCGGGCATGTTCTCATATCAGGTATCCTTGCCACCCTGCCTCTTTTTTGCTCAGGTTTGGTGGCGTATTTGAACAGCAGCGACAAGAAGTTCATGCCTAGCACTAGCCACGGCCTCAGCGCAGTCTTGGTCTGATAAAAGCAGATGACCCACAAACCATTTTTGAAAATGAATGCACATATGTTTAAATCGAGATACAACTTTAATACCTTTCAAAAAGGTGTGTTTTTGGGTTGGATTTCGATTTGTGTAAGAATAGCAAATAATGCAGCAGTATCATCAAATATGCTGATCCCCCATTGATCCCAAGAACAAACCCAAAGAAGAAATATGGCAGTTAAGCCTGTCATAGCGCTTGTTTTTGCTCGAATTTGCCCTTGAGGGATATGTTTGCTGGCTGCTTGCCCCGCACCTGCGAGATCACTTGGACAAACGTCTGCCTTTTTCACCCACGCAATGGCAGCCATTTGAAAACTAGCAGCTCAACGCTGCAAGCCAGGTGTTCTCTTTGCCTTCGATTGCTTTCGGCTTCGTGTTTCCTTTTTTGGGCCCCTTGAATGGATTGAGCTGGATTCCCAACTCTCCTGGGTGTTTTCCCAATTTCTCCTTTGTCGAGGCAGCCTTCACGTGGCCATCGGCTGCCTCATCTCCATCCTGCTGCACAGCTTCCGGTACCGCAACCTCGCGCGCACGCGGCTCAAGAAGGCGCGCGCCTGGGCGGGCGCGCGAGGGCGCACTTTTGGCCTTCCGCGGAAAGCTGGCGCAGGAAAAAAGAGAAATGGCCCCTATGGAGATGGCCCCAACGGGGGCCCCGCTGAACAAAAAGGAGAGTGGAATCTAAGTGAGGAAATTTGGGGCCCGGCTAAGAAAGACATGGTGTGACCTCGGATTTGTTTGGTTTCGTCCTGGCATGGACTCGTTGAAAAGGCCTGAACACAGCTCGCCCCAAGGGCCAGCGTTGGTAAGGAGCCGTGCAAAGAGGAGCATTGCTGCAGGTCACAACATGCCTACACTGGGAGCAAAGTGCCAAGACATGAATCACAAGGGCATTGTCAGGACATAACCATCACACTACAGAAAAAAGTTGGTACCCTTATTCTAACCTCTCTACTGGAGGACCCAGATCATGCCGTGAGTGGTCTTCCCCTTGATCGGTGCTCAGGGCGAATCCATCGATCCGACCGGAGGAAAATGGAAAGGGCTGCGTTTCTCGTAGCGAGGACATCCTGCACTTCATCAAGCGGCTGAAGGGCAAGAATCCCAACCCAGCTACTCGGCTGGCCTGCAAGCAATTGGGCCTTGGGTGCGAGCTGGCCGAGACCACAAGACCAGAGATACAGAAGGACGGCACTTGGCCTTCGTCCATTTGCTGAAATGGATATCTTTTTATTCTCCCTTGTTGATTTCAAAGGAAATCGATTTCACTACTGGAAATATGTGTTTTTTCCCTACTGGGCTTTAACAAATGGAGGCGATTGAACACAGGACTCCACAAAAGGATCAGCGGGCTCGTTCGGATGCAAAGATGCAAAGACCTCATCGCAGGATTAGATAAGGAATTGCCGGAGACCAGCCTTCTTTTTGCCCCAACAGCTGAAAGCTTTGGGGTCTCAGCCCAGATAGGCTCTGGGGTGGTCCGGGGCGGCCCTGAGGTAAGGTTCCACCAGGGTTCCACCAAGGTTCACCAGGGTTCCACCAGGGTTCCACGAGGGTTCCACCAGGGTTCCACGAGGCTCTGCGAGGGCTGCGGGATGGTGCAAGCACTAAAAAGAGCACCGCATGCTGTTGGGGATATCACCTGAGCTGATTCTTTATGAAAGACAAGGCTGTTGACATCTCAGGTTCATCAGGAATGCAGTTTCCTTCACTTTGCAGAAAGGCTTCTCAAGCGTAGATGAGGTCGCCAGCCCGACACGATCAAACATATGCTTGCCTTCTCACACATGTAGTGGGCTTGGAGAGGGATGCTCCAAAAAATGGACGGAACGTGACGTGAAGGCACGGATTCAGGATCAGCTCACGGGCAGTCTTGGGGCCCGCATCAACCTGAAAGATTTAAGCAACGAGGTGACGATGTAAGAATTAATGTAAACCGCCCAGATCTATTTGGACGAATCATCATGGCAGCACACAGCCCTTCCGAATGCACCAGCCCACCAGCCCGTCGCATTGCCAAGACCCGCTGCAGCAGAGGGCCTACGCGGGCCATCACGGCAGGCGGGGGCTCGGGGGACGCGAGCGTCAGAGAATGAGCCAAGCCAATAGGATTGCACGTGAGAGTGAGAGGGGTGACAGTTGCCTCCAAATTGCAGGAAGCTGGGGATGTACTTCGCGCAATGTCAGGTGACTTACCCATTTGCCCTGAGATTCTAGAAGCGATCATGGCGATGGTGGCTCTCTTGACACCATGCTGAGCTTGCAAATGCTTGCAATGAAGTGGCTTAGCAGAACAACTCGCCGAGTTCTTTTCAAGCACTTGGACAGGTGAGGGATGAGGTGTGCTTGCAACATGAATGCCAAAGTCGCTCGTGGACACTCGCTCGTTGCTTGACTGCTTTGCTTGCACCGTGTAGGACAGCTGAAGGAGTTTGATCACTTCTTCCACGGGTACCACGGCTCCAACAGAACTATGTGACTTAGCAAGCACAAGGTGGCCGTAGACTGGGAGAGGACAGTCATGTGACACATCTGGCAGGCAAAGTTATAGACATGTATGGTGCAAGATGGGGCCGCCAAACGAAATCAGCGAGCTGTTGTTTAGCAGTGCACGAAAAAAACCTTTCGCTGAGTAAGCAATGCAAGCAATCATTTGTTTTTGCTGCTTGGTCAGATGACTCTTACATTGCTAAGTCATGAAACTTATTTGTCCACAGCGAAAGGTTTGATACCAAAACCGTTTTGGTTTAAACGTCTTTCCGTTGGAAATCGACAGTTGCTTCGAGTTGTACCTTGAGACGTACATAGTGCCATTGATTTGCCTTCATTTACGCAGTGGCGCTGTTATTTGTGCTTGTCGAAGTCGGACACATGTACGTACGCAGAAGCAATCACCACTGCTACTGGCGTTGTAAGTCTATTCAACTGTATGACTAGCGCAAGGGCTTCGGACACCAAACAACCACAGGGTTTCCTTCATTTCCCTTTTCGCAACCTTCAAAAGTGGAATGGAAGCGTCGATCGAAGCCACTCGTCAATTGCAGCTTTTGATTCCGGGAAATCCAGTGACTTTCAGGTACATGTGCGTGAATGAGCCCAGGTACTACGTGTGCCACAACATCATCCTGCAGCTCACTCATCCCTTCAAGCTCTCCTACGCGGAGCTCGCTGGGCCTACCACAGTGAGCTGGTTCGTCTCCCACTACTGGGGGAGCGAGCCGCGAATGGGGCGGAACATGTTGCTTTTGAGGTTAGTTTGCTGAGAAATAGATGGCACTGGTTTAGATGGGCTTTATGCCACTTACCAGCGAAACCCATCTATTTTACCAAAAGGACATGGTTGAAAGTAGGCCGAGAGGCCTACTTCAAGCTTTTTGCTGGACTCTCTTGCAAGCAGGCTTCATATTGGTTTCATGCCTGCATGCAGCGCAAGACGCGTACTTTCAGCCATTGAGGGAGTCAGGGAGGTTCTCCATCAAGGATGGCTCAGGGGGCACGCCCCGTTTTGCTCCTGAGCCTGGAAATAAGTCAACTTCTATTCTCATTAAATGGCCATGGTTCAAAACCAATGGAACCATTTTGGGGTAGGTGAATTCACCACCCATTTTAGAACCTATTTTAGTGGGGACTGGGATGTTCACTGGGGGTACGATTTGGGCTTTGACCCATGGCCATATGTAGGCATCGCATGCCTGGGAGCCCCGCAGGACTTCCTTCCGCCACTTTGTGGATACAGTCAGCGGGGTCGCCCGGGCCGGGGCCGGGCTGCGCAAGGCCTCCCAACAAATCCGCTGCAGGAGCAGAGGTGTCCTTTTGGGTTATTTTGGTATCAAAATAGATGGCGATTCCTGGTTTACCTGGTGGTTTCATGATGCAGGGCCATCTATTTCCCCTCAAAGGACACCTATGTGCAGGAGGGCTCGAAATGATCTGTAGCTGGTTTGTTGAGACCAAACTTCGATCGCCGTGGATGTGTTCCCTTGCTTGCACCATGCCCTAGCATGACAGTTGACAGCTGACTGCCCCAGGACATTCGGCAGCTTCGAGCTGATGTTCTCTTCTCGATCCGTAGTATTGGTACGACTAAATGAAGAGCCACGTCAAACAGGCTACCAGAAGAAACATCACCCCCATTCCATTGTGCCTTGTTCCCCCCGTGCCCTTCATTCCACCCCCTATGGTTCAAAATGAAACCAGGCTTTAGTCCTTGTGTCCATTTAGGGCAATCCATTTTGGGGCCCCCACCACATGTGCACCACCCCCCACTCATTTTGGGGACCTCACCACTGAATGACTGAATGAATGAGTAAGATTCAAGATTCTTGAGCACCACATGTGGCCGCGGGTCAAAATTAAACCACCAGGGGACCGCAGGTTTTAGTCCCTGGTTCCATTTACCAGGGCTCCATTTTCGCTACCTATTTTTGACCCTCAGCCATGTGCACCCCAGCCTTTCCCCCTTTGACCTCAACGGTTCCCTTCCAAACCTTATTCGGGGGGAAGCTCCGAGGCAAGCACAGCGAGGAGGTCCCCCCAGCCGGGCGGAGGCCCTCGCAGCAGCTCCTCGGACAGATGACCAAAAGGTGAGACTCAATTGATCGCCCAAAAGCTTAGTGGGGCCCAAAAAGGTGAGACACACTGACTTGCGTCGAACAGACACTGCGCGCTGTCGCAAAGGCAAAGTCCCGAAAGCGTCCAGTTCCATTTCCCGCCACCGGCCAAAACCAGGCGAGTTTTGCCGAGGGCAGCGACTGCGAAGTTTGCAGGCCTTGAGCGGCTCCGAAAGTTGTTTGTGACGACGTGCTGATGGTCTGACGGTCTGACCAGTTTCTCAAAGTTGGGACCCCAAGTAGGTGATTTCTCCTTTTGGTGTCCCTTTAAGTTACAAGAGGGTCGACCATAGGGTGAAACACCATGGAAGAGACAGGCTTTTCAAGCAAAAACCAACAAACAAAAGCGTTTACATCGTTTACCATGGAACACAGTTGGTGTTTCATGAAATGGATATTTGTTGTTATGTTTCATATGAGATGCCCATTACTTGGGGCAATGTCCCGTGTTCAATGGTGGCTGGAGGGTAGGGCAGGCAACTGAAATGAATAGATTTGTTTTTGGGTTTTCCCCGCTTGGTTTTAAAGGGAATCGATAAACTACTGGAACAAGTTTATCATATTTGTCCAGGGGGCAAACAAGTGAAGCCTGAATTTGTCACAAGTCTTCTGGTTGCTTCCCAGAAAATCGCACGCCCCTCCATGTTGATACAAAGTGGTTCATCCAAGTCTTTTGGGCTTTCCAGAAACGCGGTGGGGAACCCCGGAAATATGATGGTTGGGCGTACGACTAAGAAACGGAAAAGCAGCACATCAGCAGGGTGGATGATCTCAATGCGTGCACTGGGTTCCAGTGTTAGCAGTTGTGCAATTCCATCCTGCAAGAGGTTTCAATCCTGTGAAGAGGTAGATGAAACGCTGACATGTCGCGGGACTCAGGACTTGGATCTTTGGGTTCAAAGACTGCCTCGAGTTCTTTGGGCCTGGAGTTGGTGTGTTTTCTTCATATCTTGCACCTGAGGCGCACGGCGCGTGGTGCTGGAGGCAAAAACGGCAAGTGGTTTGTTCCGCCAGCTCCACTGGCCAATGCAACAGTTTTTCGCTTGTGTACGGATTCTCGTGGAAGAGGAGACGATGGATACAGAGATAGATGGGTGTCAACTTAATTCGACTTGTCACTGGATCCATGGCCCCCCAAGTGGCCGGCGCCGAGGTCCTACTGGATCTGCAGTTTCAGCAACAACCAGTGGGCAGTTGAAGAGGCGGGAGAGTGGAAGCAAAGAGATCAGAGGATCTTGTGAAAGAGGCAGACCAAAACGCTTACTGGAGCAAGCTGAGCTGAAATACATGTTATTTCGGGCTTCAACATTGTTTTGCAGGTTCAGCTGCCTGCGCAATCTTGAAACTGCGCAATCTTGAAACTGCCTGGTTGGGATGTGTCCCAAAGAACCTGCTGACCTGACAATTGGCTGTCACAGACGCACAGATGGCACATCCGACCTGCCCTTTTGGCCTATAGAAGAGACATTCACTGCGAAAAGCATTGCCTTTGGGTGAATTATAACGACCTCACACGACCGAATTCACCCCAAATGGTGGTTTATGTGGGGAATAGCCCCCCAACCACAACAAGTTTCAGGTTGCTCTCAGGTTGGTGAAATATTATAATTCACCCAGATTGCCTGTGGGGCACTCGCGGAAGCACCCAGCACATGGCGGCACACAGCCGGCGCAGGAAGTCGGCAAGAATTGGGACGAGTCCTCCTTCTACCTGGCCATGCGGAGCCATGCTTGTACCTTGGACCTAGTCTTGCTGGCGCGATAGGGAATGTGGGAATGAACCCACGGGTCCCCTTAAAGGAAACCATAGGGGATAGTTTGTAGGGCTTGTTGAGAATCGGAACGGGGACGAAAGGTCCAGGAGCATAGGTGTCCTTTTTGGTGGATTTTTGGAAATAGAGGGCGATTCCTGGTTTAGCTGGTGGTTCAATCAACTACCAGGGCCATCTATTTTCGAAAAAAGGACACCTACGTCCAGGAAGTGTTCCTGTTTTATGCATGTGCCGGTGGCCATGATCACAGGAGCTGATGCTGCTGCGCATCCTAGATCCTGTTTGCTTGTGGTAGGGGCAGATACACTGATGTGAATGGAGTCTGGAAGCCAACCAAAATTCATCAGAAGGTGCCCTTGTTGACTATTGAGTTGACTGTGCTTTGTGCGAGAATAGATCTATCATGTGGCAAAGAGCAATTTTCCATCACGTGCGGAATCTTTTGGCAGCGCATTCTGGACCCCTTTGGTTGAAGCGCCCTCAGCGTGGAAACAGGAAGCACTTCCTGGCGCAGAAAGTTGCCGGGGCCCCGCTAGCTGGGCCAAGGCAAGGGAACCGTCATGGTCTTCGACGAGGACGCGCTGCCCCTGAACCGCTCCTGGCCCGGACACCCAGAAGCCCCGTCGCGTCAGGGAAGGAGGACGTCTTCGGGGGTGTTCCACAAACATGGCCTTCGGCCCCTACGGGGTTCACAAAAGGGGACGTGCCCAGCACCAGTCAGCCAAAGGCCAAAGGCTTCTTGATTTGGGCGCCCCTATTTGCCCTCAAGTGATGCCCTTTGAGTCAGTTCGAAGGTGCCGAACGGAGGTGGTCCTTGAAGTGGATCAAAGCAGGTCTGTGTGGATGCGACGCACAAATTTCATTTGGCTGGTTGACAACCGTGCCTCATGTCAACACTTGAATTGGAGCATCCTAGGCAGAATTATCGAGTAACATGTTTTTTGCTGTCACCTTTGTGAGCAAAGTTTCATGTCAGGGACGCAGAATCAGTGCATGCGTGTGGGGATTGACCAAAAGGTCCTTTACATGGGATGACCATTGGGGAAATCCACTAAAAAGATGATGTTTCCCACATGGGACACGTTACCCATGGTCAGTTGGGGGCCCTAAATGGAATATTGTTCAACCCCCATTCACAAGAAGCGGACATCCAAGGAGCTGACGAGCTGCGAATGTGTTCAGTTAGATGCATTTAGACGCATAGGTGTCCTTTTTAGGTTAGTTTGGCTAAAAATACATGGCACTGGTTTGGATGGGTTTTATTCCATTTACCAGGGCCATCTATTTTTCCAACAGGCTACCTATGTTTAGGCGTATTTGTTCTTTGGCGCATTTTGCCAAGGGATGTTAGGATTTTAACTTTTTGCCAACTTGCCCCAATCAGCCACTTGTCCTTGAAGCCTTGGCGTGCCTGTCGATCCCGAATTCCAAACCTTCGCAGGTGGCATCCAAATCCGAAGCTTGAAACATGTGTAGGCTGTTGTGATGGGCGCCAGCTCTTGACACCACATGTTCCAGCAAACCCGACTGCAACCTCGTAGCCAAGATATGCGCGGCCAGGTGCCTTTTTGAGCTTCTGCAGACGCACCACTTCAGCCACGGCCTTGGAGCTGTACCCGGTCCAATCAGTTGAAGCCAGTCGCTTTCTTTAGGTATCAAGGAGCAAATTTTCTTGGATCAGTGGCATGTGTGTTGTCCACTTCATCCTCACCTATGGGCTTTTGGGCTTTGGATCTTTTGATCTGCTTGCTGATTGGTTTGGCTCTGTTGCCCACTTCAGACCATTCTTCAATGCAAGCCAGGGCCCAGTTTGTAAGTCTGCCATGAAGGCCAACGAGATGACTCCCCGGATAGGATCGGCCAAGCAGAGCAGTCAGGAAACACTACCCCCTATTTTGGCTGCCACGGGCTCTAAGTTTCATTTCCGCGGCTTATCCTGCACTTTGAAATGAACTTGAGGGGCCAAGCAAGGGTTTCCGAAATGGTTTGCGATAGAGCTGCGCGTCAAACGCAAGCTCACACACACACACACAGACAGCGTTTGCGCTGAGTAGCGATTCAGGATGTGCCAAATTAAAGGAGCCGTGGTCCTGGGAAGTATGAAGCATGCCACCAGTTGGCAACCTCTTCGTGGGTGCTTGGTTTGTGATAGCCCAGCATGGCAATTTGTCAAAGGCTTACGTCTTGAAACCACATTCAGGCATTCATACTGAGTATTGTGAGATGCAGCTTATGTTTGTGTTGGTGACTGTGTTTTCGTTGTTGTTGTTTGTTTTTTGTGTGTGTGTGTGACTGCTTGCGTGCCTGGTGCCCTCGCCCGTCAACTGTTGTTCCGTTCCTTAACTAAGTCTGCACGAGCAACTTGGAGAGTTGAAAGATTGCAGGACATCCTTTGAGGTCTATGGACGACAGTTATTAGTTATTGTCCCTTCCAGCAGAAAGTCTATTGCAAAAAGCTGGGATGAATTCGGCTTGAATTCGAGGGCCACGTGGTTCTTGAGTGTCTCCAGCGATCCCGAGCCCAGTTTGTTCTGCTAGGGACTTCTACTGCTACCCGCCTATTTCCCCAGTTTTGGTCCTTGTCTCGCGGCTGGGGCTGTTTCAATGGCCACTGCCCAGGGTATCTTCTGCATTTTCATTGGCGGGTTGAGAATCGCCCGCCCGATCTCCAGAACAGACGCGGGACAGCTTCGAAGGGCTACTGCTTTGCTCAGCGCCGCACGGCAAGCAAGGGGAAAGGGAAGACCCTGTGCCCTGGGAACACAAACACAAGTAGTGGGAGACTGGCAGAGTTTCGAGTCAAGAGGCCAACCACTACAAGAATGGCCCACTTGTTAACTTTGCTCAGGGGAGAAGCACCAGCCCTTGAGAGGTCAGCTCTGTTAGCGCTGAGTTTTCCTGCCAAAAAACACGTCTTTTGTCTACTGAGCGCTGACAACGCTGCTTTCAGCCCCTTTGTTTGGACCTGCTCCCCTTAGATCGATCCCATCCGCAGAGAAGAATCCGGATTCGACCGCATCGAGGAACGGGGTGATGAACCGGGGCAACGGCTCCTTCGACCTGGCCATCAAGGTGAGCCACAAGTTGGCGAATCTGGACCTCCGGGAGGCCAAAGCCAGCAAGGACCGGTCGACGAAGGCGGCTTTTCTGCGCCTGCGCCGTGGGCTCTCTTGAGACGTCAAGAAAGCGGAGCACCGTCGATGCATTTGGGGATATGGGGGTGGGCTGATTCGCAGGGAGGAGGTTCACTCCATATTGAGGGAAGATAGCTTCTTCCTTCATGGAGAATGAAGCTTGAGAAGGGTCACAAGGGTCGATGTCCGGCAGTGGTGCCAGCTATGAGCAAACCATACTGCTTGCGGAGGATTATGAGTACGGAACCCAAGACTGCACCGGTCAGTGGTGTCAGCCTTTTGGGATAGCTGTTCTCGGTCTCAAGGCATCAGAATCAGCCGCTTGATTGGGCGGGTCAACATGGCAGTCTTGGGTTCCGTACTCATAATCCTCCGTAAGCAGTATGGTTTGCTCATAGCTGGCACCACTGCCGGTCTTCTGACAGATTTATCAATCATTGTTCTGTGATCTCGTGTGTGTGTGTGAGAGAGAGAGAGTGATATTGTGTGTTTGTGTGTGCATGTGGCAGCGCATGTGCCTGTTTGTTTGTTTGTTTGTTTGTTTGTTTGTTCGTTCGGTCGGTCGGTCGGTCGGTCGGGTGTTGGTTGGTTTGGATTTCTCTGTATCCAGATCTCACCGATCAGCTCGAAGGAGTCCGACAAGCTGATGATCGAGGAGCTTGCGCCGTGGGTCAAATAAGCGACGTGGGTCCGGCATCCTTTTTGAGGGTACCCTGTTTTTGGGTGGTTTACAGGGAAACCCCATGTTTTGGGGGGTCCCCTCCATGTCTTGGGTTGTTTTGGGTGGGGAAACCGCATCTTTGTTTTTTGGGGGGGGGTCCCCTAAAAAAGGGGCTGCAAGTTGTGCTTCACACTTGACAGTGGATCTTGAGATGCATGGTGGAGCTAGAGTCTCCGCCAGCTCGCGTTTTGTTAGGGGACCAAATGCAACACATGCAGCAAGGGGGATGGAGTGCAAGACTGAAAGAGGTCTTGAAGGTGCCAAACACTATCGGCTGCTGTTGTGCCTGCGTCTCGTTGCGATTCGACATGCCATAGGCCATGTTGTATGCGATCGCATCGTTATTCTTTCAATTCACCGGTTGGCGAGCAGTAGTTGGGTCAGCTAATGTTAGAACCGCCACCCAAACAGTTGGATTTTGCATGGTTGACGGTACGGCTAGCCCTGAAATGCTCAACAATACAACTTGAGAGATGAGGTTCGGTCAAACTTTGCAGTAGTCCATGTTTACTTTGGGAGGGAGAGGGAGTCACCGTTTCCCACACGAACCAGGGGACTTGCTAATCTTGCCAAGTAGCATTATACAGTGACCGTGGCTCGTGTGTTGTACGTTCATTGATGCAGCCATGATCATGTGTGTGTGTGTTTGTGGGCTCAAGTCTTGGCATTCTTCCTGCCAGCCGTTCATTCGCCCTTGGCGAGGGAGTGAGTCAGTACATTCAGCCTAAGGCATGTTGCCAACAAGCTCCATGACAGCCGTTCCGCTTGGCAAGAGGCCTGGCCATGTGTCCAAGGTGCGGCGACAGGCGGGCTTCAAGAACGTCCGGAGCTTCCTGACCAGCGCGGTGGAGGAGGCCCGGTAGCGCTTTCTGTCAAATCGTTTCCATTGTGACATCTGACATGGTCCCAGTCCGCCGTTTGCCTGCAGCCGTTCTTTGGAGCCGACGTTGCATTCATGGAATAACTTGGAATCACTTGGAAAGCCAGTTGCATTCACGGAAGAACTTGGAATAACTTGGAATCGCTCAATCTTCCTCCCAAGTTTTGAATCTGTCCGATCTAGGCAAGTTTTCGGTAACGACCGCTGCTTCAAGAACACCCCGGCGATGAAGATGCCAGGTCCTCTATGCTACCCGAGAGAAGTTCCAGGAGCTGCCATGGGTGGAAGTTTTGGGAATAAGGCACAAACTTCCTTGATGTACTTCCATTTGCTGAAATGAATATATAACATATTATGTTCTTTTCCCCTGTTGGGTTTTACAGGAAGCCATCACTACTGGAAAGAGTCCTATTTTTTGCAGTGGACGTAAACGCAGGTGGAAGTGTGGCATTTAGATTCGGCTCATACCCATACTTTTGTGAGCACTGACCAAACGTTTGGTGCTTCAAATAGTTTTGCAGGGCAAGCACATCAAACATCTCGCCTTCTGTTCTTTCTGCGAGGCTTAGTGTTGACGCCCCACTGGCCAGCAGAAAACAAGTAACGAGACGAAGCACCCATGCTTATGTCCTAGACCTTCAAGCGCCGAGCTTGTGATGTGTGGTGGTGGTGGCAGCGGTCGTGTGTACAGGGCCGTGTAGAGAGCAGAGGACTTGCCATTGCTGACGCCATTTTTTGGACAGTCTTTTGGGGGGTATCATTGTCAGAAACTGGCGGGGGGGGAGGGGGGTTGACTTTCTCTGGTAAGTCAAAGGGGTCAGCGCTTGAAATTTCGCTTGCCAGGACAAGATGACGGAGCTGCGGACATCTTTGGAGCTGACGCAGAGCGATTCACCCACGCAGCCTGACAAGTGGTGATGGAGAGAGCAGAGGTCCTCTTGAATAAGAATACGACATGAGACTTTTGTGAACTCTTGATTCTAGGAAAGAGTTAGGAATCAAATCACATTTTGCTGGTGTTTCAGAGGAAGGACACAATCAGATGTAATGTCAACATCGGACAAATCTAGAACATCATTTTTATCAGCAGAATATATTTAAATATTCCTTCTCCAACGAAAGCACAACCCCGCCTGAAAAGAGCGTCCTCCGGTTGTATCTGAAGTTGACTTTGTAAGTTTTCGCTCTGTTGCGTAACGGGACGTTTGGCTTGAGTCGAAGGAGCGCCTGACGTGAAAAGCGAATTTCCCACGTCTTGTCGTCAATCCATACCACACACTGCATCTTTTCAGGCACTGCCTCAGCACCCGAAGAAGCAGAGGAAGAGGAAGAAGAAGAAGAAGAATGAGCAACAGCACAACACCCTTTTGCCTTGAAGCAAGACAAGACAACTAGCAGTCCTGAAATCCGGAAGAGTTTGCTCGTCTGGGCTAGATTCAAGTTGGACGATCAGAACTTCCAGCCCCGTCAGAGGGGAAGCCAGTCCAGGACAGCAGAAGAATATATATATATATATATATATATTCTTTCCCATGAATGTGCCTCCCTTTCCAAGTCACAACCACCACTCAATGTCATTTACAGCTGTTCTTCGATTGCCGCGTCCGCTTCCTAGAACTCCCATTTTGAAACAGCGTGCGGTCCTACAGGCCTGGCACTAGCCTAAGTTTCTTTCTTGGAGGACCGTTCCCCGGAGGAACGCCTGGCGATGTACCCCCCATCAGGGGAACAAGGGGGGGGTATTATGTCGTCGCTGTGTCGTGGCGGCTCTACGTGAATTGTGCTTTCAACCGCATCCTTGAGGCGGAAAGCCGTGTCATGTCTCCCTGCCCCAGGAACATGCTGCGTTACCAGGTGCCGGACAGGGAGTGTCAGGAGGTGACCCTGGCACTGCTTGAAGGGTGGTGAGCTCATGTGCAGATCTCGCATCAGATGACAGTGCTTGCTGGTGCGATAGGCAGGGGATGAGTTGGAATGGCCCCTGCAAACAGTCCCTTGTGGTTTCCGGAAAGGGAATCCCCAGGTTCATTCCTCAAGCTCTGGGTCATTCTCTACTGAGCACCCCCCAGCGAGAATGATGGAATTTGTTGTTTACGACCTCGCCCAGAGAAGCGCTCGAGTGCGAGACTGGGTGAGGTGTCCATGCTACGGCTTAAGAACCGACACACCGGCGCCAGACCGTGGAGCTCTCCCCCGAAGTGCGACCAGCCTTGCTGGGCTCCCTGCGGAAGGCCTGCCATCGGAACGGCCCGACTTATACGGTCTCTTGATCTAGGCAGGATCTAGGCCTAGCATGTCGAGGGGTGTATTCATTCTAATTTCGAGATCATGCTGAGCAGTCTAGCCGTGTACCTATATATATATATATTCGTATATTTATATATGACATGCATTAGTATATATATATATATGTATATATATATATGTACAGATGTAAATCACATATTGATGTCCTTGCTTTTTAGGCCAAGGAGTTTCAAGGTCCCATTTCCAGCGATTCCCATGGCAGCATTTCCGCTGAGTTGGTCTAGTGAGTCGCTCGGAGATGTCTCCTGCCTCTTCGCACAATGAGCTAAGAGCTTCCTATCTGACGACTTAAGTGAGTGGACATCAAAGCGCCAGTGGTTTGTGGCCGATTGCAAACTGCTCTGATTGCAGAGAAGTAAACCTGGCATGAATAGCACTGGGCTGCGCCTATGTGTACTCCGCAAGAAGTCTGTGCTCCCCCCACACCCCCCTTTGTTGTCTTGAGTAGCATTTGTTTGAATTCAGGAGCCAAAAGGAGAGGGGAACTGGCATTGTGGTCGAATAGCCAACTCCTCGGGCAGCGTAGCCTCACGTAACCTCCGAGCTGTCGATAATGGTCCGCCCAGCCTCTTTGTTTTCAACTAAAGGCTTGCACGTTGCAAAGAAAGAGGGGGAATTGGACACGCTTTGGCCTGGCCAGAATTGAATTTGCTCGGTCCGCGTAGCCTCAGCATAACCCCCGCATAGCCTCAGCGTAGCCCCCGCGTAGTCTCCGTGTAGCCTCCAAGGCCTGTTCATTGGCCACATGCCCGCCTTCATGGCCGTTCCATAATGCTAATGCTAGGATTTAGTTGCTCGCGTGCTCGAGGCAGCGTTTCTTAAGTGAGCCGTGTGTGTTTTTGGCGTTTGGGGCCATACACTGGAAGCACACACCTGCGAGGAGGCTACGCGGTTTTCTTTCCCCCTAGGAATTTGGCGACGCGAGGAAACACGCGGAGCATACCTTTTTTAATATGTCGATGTGCGTGAAACAAAGCGCGTTGGATCCTAGTTTTGTCGGGCCAGGCCTACACCACAAGCCTCAAGAGCTTGGAGTGGGTTTTGAAGAGATCTGTCCTGGCCTCGGGCCTCGCCCTGAACGAATGCTTCAGCCCAGCCAACTTTTTTTGCCCGGAATTTTGGGGTGTCAAACAATGGGAGTGGATGGCTCTGAGTTATACAGCCTGTCGGTTTTTGGAGGGAGGACGCACAAAGGGTCCTCTGTGGGTCCGCCACGTTGAGTGCTCCACACGTGGCCACCTATTGGAAGCCTTGTAGGGAAAGCTGAGCTGAAGCTTGAAAGCCATCGAAAGCAACCCTAAAGTGCAGAGCTGCAAATTGCACCGCGTCAGGCAGGCTGCCTATTGTCTCCGCAACTCCAGTGATGGAAAAGTGTCAAAGAGCACTGCTGATTTGGCTCTCCGTGATGGCTTGGTTGGTTTGCGTCCAACATTCATGCTCCGGCCTGTGTTCAGCCATGAGCTAAAATCACACCTGGATTCCCATTCCCAACATACCTTGTTGCATGGTCGCCCCATGCCACACCAATCAGAGCTCCTAGCAGGTCTTAGTGTGCACATGCCATATCCGCCTGCAAAGGGTGCAGGTTATTTTTGCAGCGCCGCGTTTGGTGCTGAACCTGAGGGAAGTGCAAACTCCTCCGACCCAAGAACTCCTGTCCAAGATGACTTGGAGGCGGCCATCAAAGAGGAAGAGGAGCGGGGCTACGATCCACATCCAATGGCTGACGGTTGATTTATTGGCTGAGTGGCAGATGGAGCAATAGATAGATTGGTTCAGCGATAGCAAGATAGAACACAAGTCACATATCGATATTGAGATACTACAAAGGTGGAAACATAGAGAACGCTGTAGAACAACAGGCGCACACGATCGATGAATGAACAGATAGGATAAATGGAAGCATGGGCGGTTGGACATATACCAACAGGTAAACAAATTACAACAGCATGTCATCTGATTTTTGGCCATTTCTGCGACAGCTGAGTCGCAGAAGGACAGCACCTTCTAGTATTGTGACTTTTGCTCCTGCTCACGAATTGCGTACGGCTAGCTCCCGGATGGCGGTGATTTGTAAGGGAACGTTTTATTCCTTATGATGAAAGTGCTCATGTCACCCTGGCAGGAAGATGAGGATGATGCTTGCGACGAGGCAAGCTGATTGTGGCATGGACAGCAGGGAACCGGATGTCAGTATGCAGAGTGCTATTCAACGCAGGCTAAGTCACTCGATCCCAACACTGTGACACTGTCACATGCATGTCTGGTTGGCTGAGTCTCAACACATCCTGGAATGCCAGAACCATGCAATTCAAAGAACCGCACCCGCGTCAGTTTGTATACGCTAAGGATTTATGTGTTGCGTATCTTTGTTTTTGGCCAATGGTGCAGCAAAGGCTAGAATGCTGCTAAGAACATCAGGAACTTGCCCTTTGCAAGAGCCACTTAGAGAGCTGGAGATCAAGATTCCCACTTTGCTTGGATAGATACTAGACATCTCAGAGGATCTTGCCTTGCCTTTGCGTCGCTTGCCAAAACCCACCACACTCCGCGAGCGGTGCATCCGTGGCCCCATTCATGTTGCGGCTCCTGTTGTTGCGTCGTGTGACCATACCATCTAA